AGACCCAAAAAACTTTCAGCTTCATTCACAATGATTCCAATTTTCTTAGACTTCTTCTATGCTTGTGCTGTACAGTTTATGACCATTGCAATAAAATAATACAATGTCCATCTTTTTAACATGTAACATTTCATGATCCCTCGGTTGATGAGAAACCTTCACTGGTCGTGGTGGCTCTACTACCATTGTTTCTTCCACGCCACTTGTTCCTTCCACTCTTCTCACCGCCTCCAGATAGGAAACACGCTGGACACCACTTTCTCTTGCCGCCTCGGTCTCCTTCACCCTAACAGGGCACTCCAGGAATTCGGGCATATGTTCGCTACGACAATTGCAGCATTTCACTTCATCTGGCATACGATACTCATCCTTTCTAGACCCTTGACACATGACCAAATCTTCTGCATTCATGACACTGAAGGCTTGTGCACAAACCTCTAACAGGGTATCTCATGAATCCTAACTTTATATGAGAAGGGAGAGACTTCGTCAAAGAACAGTAGTATGGATGAAGGGGGATAGTATGGATGAAGTACGGGTCAGTCGACGTGCACCAACCACTCCATCTATGTCTTCAGTTATATCATCTGACTTTACATCTTGCGCCACCCCAGAAATAACCCCCTTGATAGGCGCCCTGCTTATAAAATCCAACTTATTTTGTACATAATGTTTCTGCCACCGTCTCTTATGACTGAAAAGAGCTCCTGGATATCAGAAAAGTGATTACTCACCTCGAACTGGACGAAGATTTTTTCTTGAATGAGTCGGACGCGAAGGATTTACTGCTGCTACTGGACCAGGCCCAAATACCTGTCATTCGCATGAAGAGACGCCGCCGATACAGGGGACGCAGATCTGGGTGCCTTGTGAGAATTAGTCGGCAAGTGGGTAACCTGCCTCTACCATCCGTCCTATTGGTCAATGTTCAATCATTGGAGAATAAACTGGATGAGCTGCATGCGAGACTATCCTACCAACGGGACATTAAAAACTATAATATCTTATGTTTCACTGAGGCGTGGCTGAACGACGTCATGGATAATATACAGTTGGATGGGGTTTCCGTGCATCGGCAAGACAGAACAGCTACCTCCGGTAAAATGAGGGGTGGTAGACTGTGTCAATTTGTCCATAATAGCTGGTGTATGAAATCTAACATTAAAGAAGTCCCTAGGTTTTGCTCGCCTGAAGTAGAGTACCTCATGATAAGGTGTAGACCACACTATTTACCAAGAGAGTATTCATCTATATTTTTTGTAGCTGTCTAATTACCACCAAAAAGTGCTGGCACTAAGACCGCACTCAACGAGCTGTATAAGGCCATAAGCAAAAAAGAAAATGCTCATCCAGAGGTGGCACTCCTAGTGGCCGGGGACTTTAATGCAGGAAAACGAAATCCATTTTACCTAATTTCTACCAGCATGTAACATGTGCAACCAGAGGGAAATAAACTTTAGACCACCTTTACTATACACACAGAGGCGCAGACAAAGCTCTCCCTCGCCCTCCATTTGGCAAATCTGACAATAATGATATCCTCCTGATTCCTGCTTACAAGCAAAAACTAAAGCAGGAAGTACCAGTGACTCGCTTAATACGGAAGTGGTCAGTTGACGCAGACCCTAAGCTACAGGACTGTTTTGCTAGCAGAGACTGGAATATGTTCCGGGATTCATTCGATGGCATTGAGGAGAATATCACATCAGACACCGGCTTAATCAATAAGTGCATCGATGATGTCGTCCACACAGTGACCGTATGTACATACCCCAACCAGAAGCCATGGATTACAGGCAACATCCGCACTGAGCGAAAGGGTAGAGCTGCTGCTTTCAAGGAGCCCGGACGCTTATAAGAAATCCTGCTATGCCCTCTGATGAACCATCAAACAGGCAAAGCGTTGATACAGGACTAAGATTGAATCCTACTACACCGGCTCTGACGCTCGTCGGATGTGGCAGGGCTTGCAACCTATTACGGACTACAAAGGGAAGCCCAGCCGCGAGCTGCCCAGTGACATGAGCCTACGAGACGTGCTAAATGACTTCTGTGCGCGCTTGGAGGCAAGCAACATTGAAGCATGCTTGAGTCCACCAGCTGTTGCGGACGACTGTGTGTTCATGCTCTCTGTAGCCGATGTGAGTAAGACCTTTAAACAGGTCAACATTAAGAAGGCCGCAGGTCCAGACAGATTAGCAGGACATGTACTCAGAGCATGCTCTGACCAACTGGCAAGTGTCTTCACTGACATTTTCAACCTGTCCCTGACTGAGTCTGTAATACCTACATGTTTCAAGCAGACCACGATAGTCCCTGTGCCAAAGAACGCCAAGGTATCCTGCCTAAATGACTACCGACCCATAGTGCTTTGAAAGGCTGGTTATGACTCACATCAACACCATCATCCCAGACACCCTAGACCCACTCAAATTCGCAATTCTAACAGATCCACAGATGACACAATCTCTATTGCACTCCACACTGCCCTTTCCCACCTGGACAAAAGGAACACCTACATGAGAATGCTGTTCATTGACTACAGCTCAGTGTTCAACACCATAGTGCCCACAGAAGATAGCCCTATTTGGTAAAAGACCAAGTCCATATTATGGCAAGAACAGCTCAAATAAGCAAAGAGAAACTACAGTAAATCATTACTTTATGACATGAAGGTCAGTCAATATGGAACATTTCAAGAACTTTGAAAGTTTTTTCAAGTGTAGTCGCAAAAACCATCAAGCGCTATGATGAAACTGGCTCTCATGAGGACCGCCACAGGAATGGAAGACCCAGAGTTATCTCTGCTGCAGAGGATACGTTCATTAGAGTTACCAGCCTCAGAAATTGCAGCCCAAACAAATGATTCACAGATTTCCAAGTCACAGACACATCTCAACATCAACTGTTCAGAGGGGACTGTGTGAATCAGGCCTTCATGGTCGAATTGCTGCAAAGAAACCACTACTAAAGGACACCAACAAGAAGGGACCTGCTTGGGCCAAGAAACACGAGCAATGGACATTAGACCCGTGGAAATGTGTCCTTTGGTCTGGAGTCCAAATTGGAGATATTTGGTTCCAACCGCCGTGTCTTTGTGAGATGCGGTGTGGGTGAACGGATGATCTCCGCATGTGTATTTTCCACCGTAAAGCATGGAAGAGGAGGTGTTATGGTGTGGGGCTGCTTTGCTGGTGACACTGTCTGTGATTTATTTAGAATTCAAGGCACACTTAACCAGCATGGCTACCACAGCATTCTGCAGCGATACACCATCCCCTCTCGTTTGGGCTTTGAGGAACTATCATTTGTTTTTTTCAACAGGACAATGACCCAACACACCTCCAGGCTGTGTAAGGGCTATTTGACCAAGAAGGAGAGTGATGGAGTGCTGCATCAGATGACCTGGCCTCCACAATCCCCCGAGCTCAACCCAATTGATTTGGTTTGGGATGAGTCAGACGGCAGAGTGAAGGAAAAGAAGCCGGCAAGTGCTAAGCATATGTGGGAACTCCTTCAAGACCATTGGAAAAGCATTCCAGGTGAAGCTGGTTGAGAGAATGCCACGAGTGTGCAAAGCTGTCATCAAGACAAAGGGTGTCTATTTGAAGAATCTCAAATATAAAATATATTTTGATTTGTTTAACACTTTTTTGGTTACTACATGATTCCATATGTGTTATTTCATAGTTGTGATGTCTTCACTATTATTCTACAATGTAGAAAATAGTAAAAATAAAGAAAAACCCTTGAATGATTCCAAACTTTTGACTGGTACTGTATATTTTTTAATTTGTTATTTTTCTTTATTTTTTATGTATTTTTCTTTATTTTTTACTTTAGTTTATTTAGTAAATATTTTCTTAACTCTATTTTCTTAAAACTGCATTGTTGGTTAAGGGCCTGTAAGTAAGCATTTCACAGTAAGGTCTACACCTGATGTATTCTGCGCATGTGACAAATAAAATTTGATTAGATCATCTTTACTGCCGCTGATCTGGCGGACTCACGAATGATTCGTTTGTACATTTTGTCTGAGTTTTGGAGTGCCCCTGGCTATCCGTTAATAAATAAAAAACAAGAAAATTGTGCCGTCTGGTTTGCTTAATATAAGGAATATTAAATGATTTATACTTTTACTCTTACTTTGATACTTAGCAATTACATTTACTTTTGATACTTAAGTATATTTCAAACCAAATACTTTTTGACTTGTACTCAACTAGTATTTTACTGGGTGACTTTTACTTGAGTCATTTTCTATGAAGCTATCTTTACTTTTACTCAAATATGACAATTGGGTACTTTTTCCACCACTGAGTAGTGGTTACAATCCGGTACATTGCATGCAGGCGAATATATTGATAAAATTGACCTTGTCAGAGAGAGATTTGCTCGGTTATCAAAAGTCACGCCACGGTAAGCCTATACAAAACACAGACCTTATATGAAGTAGTTCTAAAATCCCCTATGTAAAAATAAATGGTTGAAAAACAATTGGAACAATTTCCGGGTTTTACCGCTAGGTTTTATGGGTATTATGACTCATATTGTGGAACTCAATTCCCGCAGGGATCACGTTCACATAGGCCTATTAAAAATGTATGCAGTCAATGTACTGTAAAATGCTTTGGAAAGTCTCTGCTGAGTAGCATATATTTCATGAGACATTGTTTTTTAGGCATAATTTTCTGAAAATCTGAGGTGAGTTCACTTCCTGCAGTGATCACGTCACGTACTAAATAAGGAAATATCTCAATTGACGCGTCCTCGCGTCTTCTCTCCTCGTCTTTTTAGAATCCATTGGAGGAGAAGGTCAGAGAGGCGGGACCTCTGGCTTTCTCATCCAATGGGTTTTGAGAAGGAGACGAGGAGAACGGAGTGGACGCGATTGGAGCCATTGAGATGATCAATGATCAACATAAACAGCCGTGCCTCTTGCAGCTCTTTCGTTTTCATTTGTGATCAAACATTGCTATCAATTCATAACTTTCCGAAAGATGGCTGGTTTAGAGCTTTTGTATAGCTGCGTAGCAGGCAGTATTACCTGTCCACAGGACGTCGTTGTGTGTTTTGTTCACTGGGAAATTGTAAAGAGTGGGTACAAGTGTCTTGGGTTGGGAGATGAGGTGAGTCATTGTGATTCCACCACTGATAGCAGGCTACTAATGACAGGGAATTTATAATTCCATGTTTTATAGCTAATTGGTTTAAGAGTTTGCTGACAACATCACAACAACTGGTTAGCAGCGCCAGATTAGCAGTTTGACATGTTGCCTCGCTAACCAACTATAGTTAGCATTAATAATTATAGTTCGTGCTCTAGTCAGTTGGCTAAATTAGCTAGCTATACTAATTTACTTAGCTACAGCTAGTTGGTTAACGTAGCGATGCCATGTCAGACTACTAATCTGTAGCTGCTAGCTAGTTGTGATGTCAGCAAACTGGGTTGTAGAAATCAATTCGTTTATTGAATTTGTATGAATGACAATATTTCAACAATACTCATTATTCTGCTGATGTATGTGTTTTGTAAATTAGCTTGCCTATCGCTATATCATGTCCCTAGCTAACGTTACAGATTTTGTAACACGCTAATCAGGCTATATACCATGGGTATTGACCAAAATAAGTACTATTTACTGGTCCAATTACGTTGGTAACCAGTTTATAATATATAAGGCATCTCGTGGGTTTGTGGTAACGTTATATGGCCAATATACCACGGCTAAGGGCTGTATCTCTCTGTCTCCCGAGTGGCGCAGTGGTCTAAGGCACTGCATCGCAGTGCTAGCTGTGCCACTAGAGATCCTGGTTCGAATCCAGGCTCTGTCGTAGCCGGCCGTGACCGGGAGACCCATGGGGCGGCGCACAATTGGCCCAGCGTCGTCCAGGGTAGGGGAGGGAATGGCCGGCAGGGATGTAACTCAGTTGGTAGAGCATGGCGTTTGCAACGCCAGGGTTGTGGGTTCGATTCCCAAGGGGGGCCAGTATGAAAAAATAAACTGTAAGTCGCTCTGGATAAGAGCGTCTGCTAAATGACTAAAAATGTAAATGTAAATGTAAATGTATCCAGGCACTCCGCGTTGCGTTGGACGTATACGACACTTCCTCGGGCTTTACCTTCTTGCTTAAATTAACCACCTGCAACTGGATGCGTGGTTGTCCGAAACGAGAACGAAGGTAGTATCGCCAAGTTAAATTTGGTTAAATTCTGTGGCACATTTTTTGGAGAGGGGGGGGGGTTAAATCACATTATTTGCTCTTACATTGACTGACAGTCCTAGCTACAGATTGTATCTGATCCATCTATGAACATGAGTGTGGTTACATTCTTTCAGCCTCCTCCTTAGTTTACACCCAAAACAGTGGCGGGGCTAGCATTGGGCTGAAACACAAACTCATGATTGTGCCTTTAAATAGTTATCTTGAAAGGGAGAGAGAGTGTGACCTCATGCCACATGAAGCGTGACGATACATACCTGTTAAATTATGAATTAATACATTAATCTGTGTTATTTACATTTTTTCAGCCTCTGAGTGGTGACAAGAAGTCGGAGTTGCTTCCTACAGGGTGGAACGGCAACAAGGAATTGTACACCCTGCGGTACAAGTCAAATGATGACAAGTCTAATTTATTGGTAAAAGCCATCACTGTGGATTCCACCTTGATCTTCAACTTAATGGTAACTATAGCTATTCAAAATGTTTCTTCAACTCAAATCTTAAGTGGTTATTTCTCAAATTTAGTTAGGCTACATCTACAGTAGGCCTAAGTGTGATTATTTTCTATTGTGTCAGGACTCGGCCACTGAACAAGTGTCAGACCTGACAATGAATGTCAGTGATTATGTGGACGCGGATCATTTGCAAACATTTGAAAGGTTGGTCAATGTGTAATATTTTGGGGGGGATATATTGAAGGATTGCTCAATTTGAACAGTGCTTAATGGAGCAAAAGTGATTAACAACAAACAAATGTATAAGTGTTTGGATAAGGAAATCCACCGGACCATAAATACCACGTTTTTTTAAAGAAAATAATACTATGACTTATTGAAATCGAAAAATACTACTCCATATTACAGGCCATTCTGTAAAGCTTCATATTACTCCAATTCATGCTTTGTTGCTTACAGTCTTAAATGAGGCCTGGGTAAGTCCCAAATATCCCAATTTCAAGTAATTAGTTCTCAACAATCATTTTACACTGAACAAAAATATGGACGCAACATGTAAAGTGTTGGTCCCATGTTTCATGAGCTGAAATAAAAGATCCCAGAAATGTTCCATATGCACAAAAAGCTTATTTCTCTTATTTTGTGCACAAATCTGTTTACATCCCTGTTAGTGAGCATTTCTCCTTTGCCAAGATAATTCAACCACCTGACAGGTGTGGCATATCAAGAAGCTGATTAAACAGCATGATCATTACACAGGTGCACCTTGTGCTGGGGACAATAAAGGGCCGCTCTAAAATGTGCAGTTTTGCTGACTGCAGGAATGTCCACCAGAGCTGTTGCCAGAAAATGTAATGTTAATTTCTCTACCATAAGCCGCCTCCAACTTCTTTTTAGAGAGTTTGGCTGTACATCCAACCGGCCCCACATCCACAGATCACGTGTAACCACGTCAGCCCAGGACCTCCACATCCGGCTTCTTCACCTGCGGGATTGTCTGAGACCAGCCACCCGGACAGCTGATAAAACAGTGAGTTTGCACAACTGAAGAATTTCTGCACAAACTGTCAGAAACCGTCTCAGGGAAGCTCATCTCCGTGCTCGTCGTCCTTACCAGGGTCTTGACCTGACTACAGTTTGCCGTCGTAACTGACTTCAGTGGGCAAATGCTCACCTTCGATGACCACTGGCATGCTGGAGAAGTGGGCTCTTCACGGATGAATCCCGGTTTCAACTGTACCGGGCATATGGCAGATAGCATGTATGGCGTCGTGTGGGCGAGCGGTTTGCTGATGTCAACATTGTGAACTGAGCGCCCCATAGTGGCGGTGGGGTTATGGTATGGACAGGCATAAGCTACAGACAACGAACACAATTGCATTTTATCTATGGCAATTTGAATGCACAGGGATACTGTGAGGAGCTCCTGAGGCCCATTGTCGTGCCATTCATCCGCCGCCATCACCTCATGTTTCAGCATGATAATGTCGCAAGGATCTGTACACAATTCCTGGAAGCTGAAAATCTCCTAGTTCTTCCATGGCCTGCATACTCACCAGACATGTCACCCATTGAGCATGTTTGGGATGCTCTGGATCGACTTGCAACTTCGCACAGCCATTGAAGAGGAGTGGGACATCATTCCACAGGCCACAATCAACAGCCTGATCAACTCTATGTGAAGGAGATGTCGTGCTGCATGAGGCAAATGGTGGTCAAACCAGATAATGACTTTTTGTTTTGATCCACACACCTTTTTTTTTTTTAAAGGTATCTGTGACCAACCGATGCACATCTGTATACATAGTTTAGGGCCTAATCAATTTTTTTCAATTGACTGATTTCCTTATGAACTGTAACTCTGAAAATCTTTGAAATTGTTTCATGTTGCGTTTTATTTTTGTTTGTTTAGGTACAATGACCATTGTACATTTTCATGCATTACAATTCAGAAAGATCCAAGAAGTTGTATTTTTTTGTTCCTGTTCTGTACAGAATGAACCTTATGATTCCTATAAGTCTCTAAAACGTGTTGATATTGACATGTTCCTCCCCTCTGTCAGTGTATTCAAGAATGCAGAAGATTTGGCTCAGAAGGTGAAGAGCCAACTCCTTCCCTCAGTGCCCGCACCAAGAAAGAAAGACAAGAAGAGTAAGAGAGAGACATCCGATGACTCACAGCCGGACAGTGACCCTCTCCGCATTCCAACAAGGCATCCACAGACCAGCAGGCAGCCTAACTGGTTTGTACAACATACCTTACTACAGGGTTCTACAACTGGCGAACCTCGGGCCCAACCTGGACTGATTTGATGGTCCACACGACGGTTTTCTTAGTAAAGAAAAACATTAATTGAATACACCTGCCTTACTATATCAGCCATAGTCACTGATTATACTGAATGTATTAGCCTAGTAACATTCATAAATACCATTTTGTAATATGTGACTTGTTTCAGGAAACTAGGCGTATGTTGCGCGTCACTACTTCACAGGAGAGCCATTTGAACATTATTTATTTATTTACAAAATGCACTTTTTGGCATAAATGCCTTCTGGAACATGTGAACTTTCATGTGCCTTAATAACAAACGTGCATGCAGTCTGTAAATATGAATATAATAAAATTATTAGCCTAGTTGGTTTAGCCACGGAAAAAGACAGGGACCTTCCCAATAGCCATGATTGGCTGAGATAATTGATGGGCTGGACATGCTGAGAGATGAGTTTGGATTGGTCTGCCATGTAGAACGCTTCTGTCTATAACATGAGCTGCTCAGTATGTGTAGGTAATCCTTTCTAATGAAGATTTCTTGAAAGATATCACAAAGAACTGAAAGTGTTGCTAATGCTCTCCACTTTCTGTAGAACTGAGTTTTGAAGTCAGTGGAATGTCCAGTGGAAGCAAAGTATGATAGCTAAGGAGATGCAGAAAATTCTAGCGTTTTGATTGCAAATATGCGGTGGGAGTTGAAAGGACAACACGCAGAAGGCTGTTGTATAAAACACCTGTCTCCGGATTACATCTTCAAACTAAGGGCAACCATGGCATCTGTGACCGAGAGGGAGAAGTGTTCATCCATGTATATGGGTAAGAGAGTCTAGCCAGCTACAGTTTCAGATATTATACGTTTCTAATTGTCAGTCATTTTCATTGCAAGTTAATGCGTACTGTTAGCTTGCTAGCTAACGTTAGCTGGCTGGCTCACTAGCTAACGTTACGTGTATGAGCTGTGTAGTAATATTATTCTTATCGCAGAAACCAATTTTCATTGCTAGTTCTAGCCTAATGTTAGCTAGCTAATATTGAACCTAGTTTGTTAGCTTTGGCTACCTGCAGATTCATGCAGGGTAGTAACGTTATGAGTTGGGATTGTGTTTCATTGTTTAGCTAGCTAGCTACATGTCTGAACAAAATACGTCACCATGCAAGTAACCATTTCACTGTACCGTTTACACCTTCTGTATCCTATGCATGTGACAAATACACTTTGATTTTATTTGATATAGTGTGTGTTTACCGGAGACTGTAATGTGAAGAACAACAACCAAATTAGGATATAACGTCAGGCCAACGAGACAGTGTCCAAATTCTAAAATTATCCGGTAGAAGGCCTTGCTTTTATTTCGTCACTCTCAACCGTAAGCTAATTTATGTAATTAGCTTGCCATTAACTTGTAAATAATGACCTTGTGAGTTTATTTTCCTGTAATAATGAATACAAATTATCTAAAGTTAAGACGTCAGCTATATGATATGGTCATTATTTGAACTGGCTAGCCAGCTATCTTAAAGTTAGCTAGCTAGCTAACAAGCTAGAAACAAACCAAATCATTGTTTAGAAAGTTGCTTTTAGTTGCCTGGTTAGCTATATTGACATATACTAAATTCATTTTTAAATGGATGGGTTTGTTGGTATTAAAATACACCAGTTATGCTGTTTTGGACCACCAGGCTGCTTTTTCATAACAACGACAAGTTTGATGTCGGACGACAAAATGATGTTCATGATGTCACTACGACAAATGTCTACAGATATATCGATAGATGTAGTATAAAGCAGCGTTTAGTCTTAATCTTTGGTTATTTAGTACACTACCGTACTCACTCTGTTTAGCACATGGCCTCATGTGAATCCTTAGAGATCGGTGGGGCTAAGGCTTAAGAGGGTGTGAACGATGCTGAATGGGTGTAGACAAAGAAGAGCTCTCCAGTAGGTGTACCAAAACATTCAAGGACCATTTTCTCAAAAGTGGGGTTACAAGTTTATCAACTTTCAAAGCATAATTACTTTCTCATTGTTCCTCAGCTGTAGTGTATGATATACAATTTTCTAGCTCTGAGTCTCTACTTTTATCCAATCTAAACATCATTTCAAATTTTGCTACATAAGGTCGAGCCGGTCGGTCACATATGATAGTGTAGGTCAGAGCTTAATGCAGTAGCCTGTCAACTAGACAGAGCATGCATTATTTTTATCTGTTTTGATTTAGTACAACTTAATGGACAGAATTGTATTTAAATGTACACTGAGTATACAAAACATTAAGAACACCTGCCGTTTCCATGACAGATTGACAAGGTTATTGATGTCACTTGTTAAATCCACTTAAATCAGTGTAGATGAAGGGGTGGAGGCAGGTTAAATAAATATTTTTAAAGCATTGAGACAATTTGAGACCTGGATTGTGTATGTGTGCCATTCAGAGGGTGAATCGGCAAGACAAAATATTTTAAGTGCCTTTGAACCGGGTATGGTGGTAGGTGCCGGGTGCACCAGTTTGTGTCAGGAACTGCAACGCTGCTGGTTTCCCGTGTGTATCAAGAATGTTCCACCACCCAAAGGACATCCAGCCAACTTGACACAACTGTGGGAAGCATTGGAGTTAACATGGGCCAGCAGTCCAGAATTGAGGCTGTTCTGAGGGCAGAAAGGGGGGTGCTGCTCAATATTAGGAAGGTGTTCCTAATGTTTGTTATGCTCAGTTTTATTTAAACAGGGTTCCCATTGTGAGACCAAGGCCTCTTTTACAAGGAAGCCCTGCACACAATCATACAAATTCACAAGATTTACAATTCCAATGCAATAAAAACATTTTACAAGCAATTTCAAAAAAGTTACTTACAAAACACGATCATGAAAAACAAATGCATTCCTCAGTAAAAAAGTCATCAAACAGCTGTTTGAACTACTATAGCTGCACCAAAACATCCTACTTTAGAGTTCTGGCGATAATTCCACATGTAAGGTTCAAAAAAAGGTAAATCTGTGTTTAGTTGTCTCAGTGGAGATGGATGGTTAGTCAACCCTGTGATCGAGTCTGGGGACTCTTATTTCTGTAATCTAACAATGAATTAAGGTATGGCTAGGGCTGTTACTGTGACCGTATTACCACCACACCGGCGGTCACGAGTCATGATGGCAGTCAAATTCCACGTGACCTTTTAGTCACGGTAATTAGGATTCTCCAAGCTCTGATGCTGCTGATGGTCATTAGTAGTCTACCAAACTTGCTAACTGCCTGGTGCGCCGCACTCTGTCCCTCTAATCATTCTGACATCAATGCAAATCAAATCTAATCAAACACTTAATGAGAGGCCATGAGCTCATGTTGCGCAACATTTCTATAGGCTATGCAATTGCGTGAGAAAACAGAGTGATGGGCTCTATTAAAAATTAGGAAGATCCCATCAGCTTTCTATAGGCTAGGTCTACTAACTTCCCTAATATTAAGCACATTGATTCTCTTTACAACAGGAGTATAGCCTACCTGGCTGGCATGAAAATGAACCACAGGAAAAGCGTCCTCCATTCGCTATTTAAGTGCATAGATGACATGTATTTTTTTTCCCGCTTCCCCCTGTTTCGAGACCGGTGAATGATAATGGACAAATTTCACACGTGTATATGTGAAGACTAGATTAAATCAAGAATAGTGTGAGGGGTGACAATATTAGCCTATCACTTGTGAATGATGCCCAGCATAAGGCAAACAGCGCATGCTTTTTTTTTTTGCTACCTTTTTCCAAATCATAGTCTCACACCTCATGTAGCCTAGCACATAGGCCTATATGTTTTGATAATGTTTGTATCGCAACTAAAGTGGCCAAATATATTTTTAAAATGAAGCCCTTTAATCCGCTTTACAACTGGTGTGGAGCCTAACTGGCATACATATAAGGTGCGTGAGTTTCAAGTTTGGGGAAAATTTTTACCATAAAAATGCACTTTTATAATAAAAGCATTACATGCATAATCACATTTGTAGTCACTTTTGAAAATGGTGTTTTCCTGCTAATGGAACATTCGCGCTTATAGGCTACTGCCGTGTGCGCATTGCTGCACTTATAATGTGAAGAAATAGCCTAATAGTTAACCACATTTTAAGATAATTGTTCTCATCTTTTGCGTCAGGCTCATTGCTTAAAACATTAATATTTTTTTTATGCTAGTGGTTGTATTAATTTGGGATCTATCGCATCCCACAAATGTACTGGACTATGTTTGGAATATTTATTTCTCACACAAAATAGAATAGGTCAACTTTTGTACTATGGGGGTTAGTAAATTGACATAGGCTAGTATTTTTGCTGTTCAATAGGCCTACTCATCTTGTTGGCTGACAAAGTAAATGTGGACAGTTCTTCCAAAAATCTTAAATATGTGCCTCGAATTGGATAAGGACGCGCGCGGTTGCGTCCCTGACGTGTCGGTCTTAACTTGTAGCCTGTGAGAAAGACCTGATCACGTGACTGTGAATGAGAGACTGATGAAGTGTGTGTATAGCCTACGCAAATAACAAAGCAGAGTTCCTGCCTTTCATGCTACTTTTTTCAAATCCTCAGTCGCATCATGCAGCCTTAGAATGTATAAAAAATATAAACATATAGCCCAACATTTTGTATCACAACTAAAGTTACATAAATAACTCTAAATTAACCATCTAGGAGTACCAGTTTCTTTGTTAACCGCTCAACACAGAAAAGCTGCATGTGCGCACTCACTCAAATCGTTTGGAGAAAATATCCTTTCTACTTTATTCAGCTATGTTCAATTGTATTCTTCATACTATAAATAATATAAAATAATGCCATGGAATTCAAATCTTGTCTGCTAAATGAACTTGTGTAGCCCACAGCCATATGGCATAGCCTGATCAGGGCCTCACATAAGAAAATATTGGCAGACTACATTTTCTTATTGGCAGACTAAATAGCCTTGGTTTCTCAAATGACTGCCTCGCCTGGTTCACCAACTACTTCTCAGATAGAGTTCAATGTGTCAAATCGGAGGGCCTGTTGTCTGG